CTCCCAGACAGAAACTAAACTACCCCTCCTCCAGCCCTGCCCCCCAGCCAGGGCAGCATCCACCTTCCTTTGTTCCTCTCCATGGGGGTTAGCTTTTCAGACAGGTTGAGATACCCTCTTTGCATAGTGACTCATCGCCTGTCTTGCTCGGTGGTGCTACAGACAGTGGCCAGTGAGTTAGCAAGTTACCCCCCACTACGTCACAGGCTGTATCCACAAAAGCTCATGATACCATCTACATGTTTTGTTAGTTTATAAAATGCTACCAGCCCATTTGTTGTTTTTTTCTGTAACAGACTAACTCGGCTACCCCCTTAAGCTCCCAGACAAGAAGAATGCGGGTTGCCACAGGGCATATGGTTTGAGCAGGCACCACAGGGCTTAAAGCCTTGGGGCCCTGGCATCCCCTCCCCTGCTGGGAGAGTCAACTAACTCGGCTACCCCCTTAAGCTCCCAGACAAGAAGAATGCGGGTTGCCACAGGGCATATGGTTTGAGCAGGCACCACAGGGCTTAAAGCCTTGGGGCCCTGGCATCCCCTCCCCTGCTGGGAGAGTCCAGCTGAGCTCTTTATCCACTGATTGAACTATTTACACTACCTAACAACTACTTAACAGATACTTAACTACTGAAACTAACTATAATACAAACAACAGATAAGAAAAACTACTACAGGACCGGCTGATAGGCCTAACACACGCTCCAGCTACTGTCACAGGCGGTAAGAAGGAACAGAGAGTGGAGGGGCCAGCAGGGATATATATGCACCCGTATACCCGCGCCACTCCAGGGGGCTCCCTGCTGGCCCTATGGATACTGCTAAGGGATAAAAGCTCCAGAATCATGCATGCGGCGCACATCCACCTAATCAGAATGGACATGAGCAAGCACTCGAAAAAGAACAATGACTTGTAGGTTGAAATCAAGTATAAAAGTTTGAGCTCTAAAGGAGAATTTTGCTGAAAAATTATAAGCAAGGGGAAACAGAGTCATATTAGAACTCTGCATTTAAAATTTAAACTAAGGTTCTCTCTACCATTAATATTTTAATGGTATTAAAAACATATACTGTACATCCTTGGGAGTCTTTTCCAAGTCTTTTAAAATTAACAATGACTGTTACCCTTAACTCCAAAACTAGCTAATCTGGATTTTTTTGGTTTTTATTTTTAAAACCATTTTTTCAGTAATTGAAATCAGACTTATTAGTTTAGTTTCTTTTGTAACTGTTACTTCTTTTTTAAATACAGGTGCAGTACTGCACTTCCATAATGCTCTGTCAGTTTTCAAATCTGATTTCCTTATGTTTCTGTTCTTCTCTTCACCAGTTGAGTCTTCTAGTGTTCTACAGTGAATTTCATCATGCACTGTTCACCAGAATATATTAATTTTTTTCAGTATCCAATATCAATGCTGATACTAAATAAATAATTGATGTACCTCTCCATTAGAACCAAGCAGAACAGTAATGGTCAATAGTAATGGGTTCTCATTACCCTTGTAGATTTGCTCTGTCTTTAAGTAGTGAGCTCTCCCTATTTTTTGCTTTATTTAAAGAGAGACACATGATGAAAAAGATAATGTCTTTTACTGGGCCACATTCTGATGTTGACACACAAGTTTTTGAACTGCGCAGAGCTCCTCTTCTTCTGAAGAGCTCTGTGTGGCTTGAAAACTCAGCTCTTTCACCAACAGAAGTTGGCCCAATAAAGACTATACCTCATCCGCTCTTGTGTTATTCCCAGGATATGAGAGCGACAATCTAAAAACTGCAACCAACCATGTATTTTAAAACATTTTCTGGGGCCTTTTCCAATTCTGTAAGTCATAAATAATAACCTGATTTGTACTTTGTACTGGTAACCATCCCTATGTAACATAAGTATCTGAAGAGTAAAGAGAGAAACAGGAATTTGAAAGAAACCCCATGTTTTAGCTTTTCTGTGTACATAAGTTTCAAACAATTACACACACAACATATAGGAAAAACAGGATACAAATTCTTCAAAAAATTCCCATACCTATTGTTCTTTTTAATATTTCTTTCATATCAAGTAGATATACTTAAGTATTACAGCCCAGCTATTCAAAGGTAATTATGCATTGCTGAGTTTGATGTACAAAATCTTATTGATTTAGAAGTCTAAATTTCATTTCAACAGGGATTTAGGCACTTATAAACCCAAATTCTAGCAACTGGCAATGGGATTTTATCTGCTAAATCAGTTTAACATTGTATGCTGAGCTCAGAAACACTAAAGTACCTTTAGAAATCTGGGCATAAAAATGACCTGTTGGAAATTCTAAACAAAGCACTTGGCAATAATTCTACTCCTTTACAAACTCACTATGAAAGAACACTCACTTGGCACAGCGAACCCAGTGTGTGTGCTGGAACAAGGAAAACAAAAGCCGCTGACGGTGAACACTCCATACTTTTATTGATTTGTCATTGGATGCTGTAACTAGGAACTGGCCATCATGTGAGAAGTTCACACTGCGGACAGGTGCAGTATGGGCTTTCAGGGCTGAAGATTCTCCATGACTGAAAATATACATTAATATTTTACATAATATTTCCCTTGTGAAGGACATACAACTCAATACACAATATAACTGACACGGATTAAAAGATAAAAATCAATCTATTTTTCCTGTACACACCCAGTCCAGACCACAAGAACAATTTCTTGGTAAATCCTGATTACTGTCTTTAGACAAAGCCACTCAATGCATTTTGAAAAAACACATTTTCTAATTTAGTAGAAGTTTATTTATCTAAATGACTAATACTACAAACTATATATTTATGTTAGTCTCTAAGATGCCATAGGACTAGTTGTTTTTAAAGTTACAGCTAGCTCTCTGGGACTAAAAAATGAAAGTCCTTTGCTTTGCCAGCATTTACCTTGCTACTTAGTTCTGAAGACATTATTTAATGAAATAAGATTACTACATAATATTAGAGAATTAGATTAATATTAAATTAATGTCAGAAAAGATTACAGAATATTACAATATTTTAAGAGTGAATGTAAACATTAGTCACTATGCTGTAAAATGTCCTTAAAATATTTTTGTTCATAATCACTACCATTTTTCCTTAAAGGAACAGACAAATTTTGAATGAATAAAACTTGCTGTGTTGTCTTGGCTTCCTTTGTGACTTGCCCCCTAATTGCATATGAATGCACAGGAACGATACAACTCCCACTTAAGTAAATATATCCTTTGAGTTTGGAAGAAAGGCTGCCACGCACTTATGCATGCCTATCTTCAGCTGAGGCCTTCTAGTTTCTGTACTCCTATAGAATTGCAGAGGAACCAAGACAACAATGAACCTTGCTTCCAGATGCTCCTAAACTCCCATTATTCCTCACATCCACCTGATGTGGGAGAGAGTAGTAATACACAGAACTAAATTTTCTGTGATATTGGTAAGGCAGTATCAAAAAACATAAACAATATACTTCAGTTGTACTCACATACAGGGAATCCACAGTCTGATAGTCCGATCTTGAGAAGCAGATGCCAAGAGGTGCCCATCTGGTGAAAACTGTACACTGGTTACAGCTTCCACATGACCCACAAATCTGAAAGCTCTGGACTGTGGCCTCAAATTCCAGATCATAAGAAACCTATCCAAAGAAGATGAGGCTGGCAAAAAAATAATTTGAAAGCTATTTTCTGTTAAAACAAACAATTAGATCACTTGAAATAATAAAAACTTTGATCATTACTCATGTTTAAAAAGACACATGTATTATAAATACATACTTAACCAGTGATACTACCTTAAACTCCATTATCAATAATAATCTGTTAATTTCTAATTCAGAAATAAAATGACACAAAATGCCTACAAAACAACGACAGCAGATTTTGTCAGTGTCACTGAATTTATTATCTATTTAATGTTTTGAGAACTATGTTTGATCTAGTGGCCATAGTATGACATGTAGGAGCCAGGAACTCAATCACAAATTTTAAGACTAACATAGGCTCAAACAAATCACCACTAAATGTTCTCATCTCTAAAATGAGGACATTAATTTTTGAAGTTACTGAGCAAATACGTTTGCAAAGCACTTTGAATACAAAAAATACTATAAATATTCCAATAATTATAACAGATTTGACAATGCTGAACAAAATGTAAAGCATCTGGAAACAGGATAGCAAACACGGTCTTTTCTACCTTCAGCTATTTAAAGTCACATTAGCTAAATTTTCACAGATGGGTGCTGAAAGGTGAGTCTCTACTGTGGGATCTTCAAAGAGCACTAAGTGGTGGCCTACCTTCACAGAAGTAGGCTTATGCTGAAGCTCTACTTGAAAATTCCACCGCCAATATCTGTTCTAGTCATCTAAACTGAAAAGTAGATACCCAAGTACTGAAGTTAGAACATTTTGCACATCTTTTGAGTCAGTGGGAATTTAATAGGAAATTGAAGGTGTTGATTAAATAACAGCAAACACTAGAACATATTTTTGTGCCTTAGCAATCTGAACAGCTAATCATATACTGTTCGTAATTCTATAAACAATGTATTTAACTATTTAAGCAAAATATTGTCCAGACTTTGCCTGGAAGTTTCTGAAAATAGCCAGTCTGGTCGAGTTCTGTAACAGTGATTGGAAAAGATGAAGATGGGGAAGGCACGGGACTGAAGTGTGTAGAGGTTAGGAATATCTTGATAAGAAAAAAAAAAGCGCTTTGAATACATACAAGCCTTCTTCTTGGCTTCTGGGAAAGTCTGAGGCCAGGTGTTATCCCTGGACCCTCAACTTCGGAGGGCGTGTGGTTTGTAGGTATGGGATACATTTTTCTAACTCTGAGAGTTGGTTATTTTACAATAGGCACTTTCTAATGATATTTTATGTCTCTTTTTTTTATTTAGAGGAGAGAATTTCAGTTCACCATCTTTGAAATACTGTATAGGGCAGATTATTTACTAGGGCACTGTAGTAAGAGGAGGACCTGAAAAAGCCCATGTGGAAGAGACCTGATTTGAGGCCTGAGGCCTCGCTAACAATGGACAAAACTTGGCTAAAATAAAGCTAAGCTAAGCTGTGAGTAAGAGGCAGGCCCCTGCTCAGAGAACTTAGCATGAACCGGGCTGAGAAGGCAAAGCACTAATTAGTAACAGGCCCCGGTGTAGAACAGTAATTGGTACTGATCATAAGTTGAAAGCACATTCCAAAAGATGGTACCACCAGCTCATTAAAAAAGACCTTGGTACCCACACTCCACATAGATACTGACCCGGGTTCAGAAAAGGGTCTAAACTGATAGCATAATAGACAGACATTATAAACAAACCACAAGGTGCAGGGTGATGGGTGGTATATAAGCATCAGAGAATGGTAACCTGACACATCAGGAGTGATGTGTAACTTGTTTATACCTGTATATAAAGTGGTGTCTTGGGAGGGCACCACAGGGCAGTGGGAGTCTCCTACTGATTAAGTCAGTCCATTGTTACGGGGTACATATATGTAGTGGTTCAATAGAGTCTACTGACAACTATTACTGTATTTTGTGTAACAATAAACTTGGCCAGGCACCTTCAATCCTTATCTGATTTATGGTCTTTGGTAACTCTTTGGAGTCTGCTAGGTTGACTAATTGCACTAGTCAACACAGCACACATGCATGCAGCCTTTTGGTTATCACTAACAGAGCAGGAGACTTGTCAGGACACCATGACAGTAAATCCTAACCTACTACATTGGTGACTTTAATACAGCCAATACTTCCTACACTAAATATATCCACCAGCAATCCATGGAGCACAAACCAGCATATCACGTAACAGTAGCTCTCTTCCTTGATTTCAGCTATTAACATATTTTAAATTACACTCTAATTCCTTCTTTTTACTACTGTACTCATTTTTAATAGCCACAACTGAGTATCTCTCTCTAACAAGCTGAAAAAAGGTGACTGAGAAGTAGACATGAGCACAACAAAAAAGAAAGGAAATTCTGAGCTGAAGATCTCATTCCAGCCTTATCTAAGGTCCCAATCCTGGACAGAGAACTGAGTCTCATTAATTTCAATGGAATCTTGAGACAGCCTGAATATTTCTGCTTCTAGGAATTGGGACTAACTATGTGTACCTTCTAGATAATATCTCCACACACTTTAAATCTCTGCAATACCTTAGCTCAATAATATAAATTAAGATCTTTCAGCATTTATTTCCCTATTTGTCTTTTGTAAACACAGCATGGTGGAAAAGAAACATTATAAATACATACATGGTCGATGTTGTTAACAGCAGCAACTTCTCTCTTCAACTGTGAAGTTTAAACTATATTAGGGATGGTAAAATGTGTGTATTTGTGTCAATATGTAAACACTAATTTTTTCAGCTGTTACACGTGCAGAGGTGGGGAGTGGGGAAGACCAGGGGGACAGATGGCTCCATGGGGGGCAGGCAGCTCTGCGGGAGCCGGTACCCACATCTACCCCCCCAGCTGCCTCTGATACAAGCTCATCGGTTAACCATGTACTTGAGTACACATTCACATTCTTAAACTATATTAGCTGCTATTGTGTTTCAATTACTCTTAATAGGTGACAAAAATGTACTTTATAAGCAATTAATAATTACCTTTAAATTAATTGTTTCCCATTGCCCCAGTCCAAGAGATTTTGTTATCTTTACAAGGATGGTTCCCTGAGTTACCCAAGCAAAGTATTTCACAGAGGTTTTTTTACAAAATGGTTTCACTTTTTGCAATGTTTTCTTTTTTCCTCAAGATACTATAAATGCATTAACTTATACAAAATTAAAATAAAATGCTAAAATACCTATTTAAACATGGCTCTTTTGGGGATTAGACAAGTCATCTTAACTTCTGTACACAGAAAGATAACGGAGCAAATAATTAAGCAATTTGCAAACATCTAGAAGATAAGCTGCTAAATAACAACTTGGATTTGTCAAGAAAAAAATCATGTCAAACTAACCCAATAGCTTTCTTGGACAGAGTAGCAAGCCTCATGAATAGAGAAGAAGAGATAGATGTGGTATATTTTTAGAAAGGCTTTTGGTAACTGTCTCAGATGACCTTCTCACAAACAAACAAAGGAAATACAACCTAGATTGAACTATTACAAGGTGGCCACATGGATACCCATTCCCAGAAAGTAGTTAACAATGGTTCACATTCATACTGGAACAACATAACAGGTTGGGTTCTACAGGGTTCAATTCAATATCTTCATCAATGGCATAGAGTGTACACTTAAAGTTTGCAGATAGTTCCAAGAGGAAATGGGTTGCCAGTGCTTGGAGGATATGATTACAATTCAAAATGATCTGCATAAACTGGAGAAGTGGTCTGAAGTTAATAGGATGAAACTCAATAAAGTCAGATGCGCCATGTAAGAAGGAATAATCAGTTGCACACATTTAAAATGGGAAACATCTGCCTAGGGAGGAGTACAGAAAGGGACCTGGAGGTCATAGTAGACCACAAGCTAAATAGGAGTCAGCAGTGTGTTGCAAAAAAGTTGACATTCTGGGTTGATTAGCAGACGCATTATAAGCAATACATGAGAAGTAATTTTCTGCTCTACTCCATGCTGTTTAGTCCTCAACTGGAGCATCCAGTTCTGGATACCTAATTTCTGGAAAGATGTAGACAAACTGGAAAAAGTTCAGAGAAGAGCAACAAAAATGATTGATGGTCTAGAAACATAACCTATGAGAGAAGATTGAAAGAACTGGGCTTATTTAACATAAAAAAGAGAAAACAGAGTAGGGATGTAAACGACTAGTCGACTACCCAATAAGCAAATGCTTATCAGGTAGTCGAGTAGGAACTCAGCTAGTCACTTCCCCCTTTCCCCCCCTTCCCTTGCTGCCTCTATCAGAAAGAGGCAGAAAAGAGGGGAGCAGAAGTCGGTGGTGGGGGGAGCCAGCTTAAAAGCGAGCTGGTTCCCGCTGCCTCTCTCCCTTTGAAATATACAAGAGCCACGGGAGAGGTGCAGTGGGATAGTGAGTGCCCCACTTATTGACTAATCAAGTAGACGATGGAAATTCCTTCAACTAATCGATTAGCTGATTAATCAACATTTAAAATCCCTAACTGAGAGAAGGCAGAATAACAGCTTCCAAGTATCTAGAAGTTCGTTATAAGGAGGAGAGAGAAAAAAATATTATTATTAACTTCCGAGAATAAGACAAGAAGAATGGGATTAAATTGCAGTAAGGGAGATTTAGGCTGGACAAAACTCCTGACACAGTGATTAACCACTGGAATATATTGCCTGGGGAAGTTGTGTACTATCCATTTTTGGAACTTTTTAAGTGTAGATTAGACAAACACCTATCAGGGATGGTCTACTCTAGATAATCCTTAGTCATACCAGGAGTGCAGGGGATTGGACTAGCTGATCTCTCAAGGTCCTTTCCAGTCCTAGGATTCTATGACATCCCAAGATATTGTAGATCAAGCCCAACAGTTACAAAATGTGTTACTGGACACATCAACACTAGAAAATGTACTGTGATATATTGCATCTGACCTTTATATAGGTATTATACAGTCTTTAAAAATGTAAGATGGCAATGTAGGTGGGTCCATAGATTAGTTTTGTAAAACAATTTATAACACGAGGAGGTCCGGTGTACATGCTCCCCCTGGAGATACATGAACATCTTTCATGTTTGAACATGGTCCCAATTAAAAGTACCCGTGTATACTACAACAATAATGATGTTGTAACAGGATAGAAACTTGGCTGGGCATAAACCTCATGTCATAACATCATTTATTCTTGTCTATGTACAAAAACAATATAACCAATTTTACATAAGTATCTAATGATGCAGTTAACAGCAACAGAAATTAACAAGATTTTTCTTTATACATTTTGCTTTTCTGCATGCAAATCACAAGACTTGCACACCCAACAATGAAACGTTAGGCTATGCAAACACCAGGTTTATATATTTCTCTTCTAAAATTATTAGTAAAAAGGCACTCAATCCAGGATACTTCCTTGGCAGCAAATAAAAACATCTGTACTTACTTATAGAAGTATATAGGCTTCTCCCACCATCAATACTGACAAATTTAGAATCAAAGTAAGTTAGCCATATTGATCACGTGTCTACCAAGGATGGCGAGGTTCCACCTACAGGGGAATTCCTACCATACTCTAACTAGGGATGCTAGCGGCTAGGCAGGTAACTGTTTAACCGATAAGCTTATTGGTCCCAGTTAACCACAGCAACCCCTCCTGCTCACTAGCTGCATTTAAAACTCAAGACTGGCAGGTTGGCTCAGTCCCATGGGAGCCATCTGCCACTTCACACTACTACCTCTGATACAAAAGCAGCAGCATAGGATGACAGGCTCCCCGTGCAGACCAGCTCCTGCCAGCCACCCGGGAGCCTCAGGCGGGAGTCAGTCTGCACTAAGAATGTTAAAATGCAGTTAACTGACTAGTTGACGGAAACATCGACTAGTCGATAGGCACTTTTGCATTCCTCCTTTGAAATGTACAAAAGCCCCCGCTGGGGCTCCTGTACATTTCAAAGGAGGAATGCGTAACTCTACATACAGCCTAGGACCAGCGGGAAGTCCCACTGACTCTGGGCTACATGCAAGTGCATGCTTTGACATGCACAAGAGTCCCCAGCAGGGGCTCTTGTGTATTTCAAAGCCATGGAGCCCAGGGTCAGTGAGGGACTCCCCAGCTGACCCTGGGTTCTGGGGAAGTGCTGCTCAGAGCCCAGGATCAGCTGAGGAGTCCTCAGCTGACCCAGGGCTCCACTGTGCCTTTGAAAGGCATGGAGGTGGCAGTTACAAAGGGGAAGCCGCCGCACAGCTGATCTCAGCTGTGCAGCGACTTCCCCTTTGAAACTACCTCCTCCGCACCTTTCAAAGTGGCAACCATGGAGCCCGGGGTCAGCTCAGGACTTCTAGCTGACCCCGGGTTCCCGATGGCATTTCCTCAGAACCTGATCCCAGGTTCTGGAGAAATACCACGGGGAGCCCAGGATCAGCTGTGGAGCTCAAGAGTTGCCCCTTTGAAAGGCACAGAGATGACGTTTTAAAAGGGCAGCCCACCACCCAGCTAATCCACCGTCTTTCATAGAGGCAGCAAAAGAGTGGGGGAGGGATATCGACTAGTCAAAATACTATCTGATAAGCAAATGCTTATCGGATAGTCAACTAATCTTTTACATCCTTAGTCTGCTCAGGGAGCCGATTTTTAAACCGGCTCCCCTCACAGACCCGATCTGCCTGCCACCTAGCACTGCCACCTCTGATACAGAGGAAGCAGCACTAGATGGCAGGGGGCTCTCCAGGAGTGAGGCTGCCAGCCCCACCCCCGAGGGAATCACTGAATAATTGTGTAACCACTAAGATTATTATTAAGATTTACACGATTATTAAATTAAACAATTTCTAACACCCCTAACTCCAACAGCTCAGAATACCATAGCAGTCTGATATTTAGAGCCCTACGAAATTCATGGCCACAAAAAAAACTATCACTGATCATGAAATCGGTTCTTTTGTGTAATCATATCCTATAAAATAAAGATTTCACAGGGAAGCCAGTGTCTCTCAATTTGGGAGACTTGACCCCAAAAAGAGTTGCTAAGGAGTCACAAGGTTATTGAAGGGATGTTACAGTATTGCCACTCTTACTTCTGTGCTGCCTTCAGAGTTGGGTGACCCAAGAGCAGTGGCTGCTGGTCACGAACTCAGCTCCAAAGGCAGCAGCACAGTAGTAAGGGCAGCAATACCGTACCATGCCATTCTTACTTTTGTGCTGTTGCTGGTGGCAGTGCTGTCTTCAAAGATGGCAGGCTTGAGAGTGGCAGCTGCTGACTGGGAATCAAGCTCTGAATGTTGGCAGCCACAGCACAGAAGTAAGGGTGGCTATACTGTAATTTCCCTTCAATAACTTTGCAACCTCCCCTTCACAATTCCATTTTGCGTTAGGACCCCTACATTTACAACACACTGAAATTTCAGATTTAAATATCTGAAATTTTGAGAAGTATGACAGTGAAATTAATTAAAATGGACCATGAACGTCGTAGGGCATTGCTGATATTGTTAACAAGATGTAATAGGACTGAATTACAGCTTTGACTTTCGTAGAACTGTTAGTCAAAAACACATGATTTGGCACCATCTACTTAATGCTCAACTATATCAGATCATTCAGTACATTTGGAATTTCAATGTAGATGGATTTAAGTAGTCAAATCAAGTGAGGACATTAAAACAACTATAAAAATACATATACATCAGTAAACAGTATTTAATGAAAAACAATAATGAATTAAATTACTATTTAATGAAAAATAAATTTCTACGAAAGGGATTGGCAGGCTACTTAAATTCGGAATCTTTATTGGGTTTTGAGCAACAGAAGTTTAATATTATTAACCTCTGACATGCCACTAGATGTAGTGGGTACGAATATAAGTTGCAAAGATTAAAGAAAAAACAAAAAAGTCAGAAAACTAATCAACATTCAATTGTCATTTTATTACTGTTTTTCAGAAACCCACCCAGATGAATTGATTAAATGCAAATTTACAGCATCTGTTAAGTAATTTAAATCAGTAGTTTAAAATCCATATAGTAATTTTATATTCCCCAAAATTCTCATAAAACTATGACAGAATTAAAATATATGTATACCTTTGTTTCCCAGAGTATCAGATTTTCCAGAAATCCATACACAGAATGAAAAGATTACAGTAGTAATGCTTCAATTATGGTTGAGATTGCCATTTCCAAGTTCCTATTATCAGACCCTTCTAATATTCTAAAAATTACTCCTATTGGGCAGAAGTGTTACATTCTTCGTCTTATTTTTTTGTTTAAAAAAAATCTGAAATGTCCTATTGGGCAGAAGTGTTACATTCTTGGTCTTATTTTTTGTTTAAAAAAAAAAATCTGAAATATGGGGTAAAAAATTCCCTTGAGTTGTCATTTGTACGTGCATTTAAAAAAATAAAGGTATAATATTTAATAAATTTGTTCATTCTTATTTTCTGCTCTGATAAACTCCCCATTTATAAAATAGCTTTTCAAGGGGAACACAATATTTGCTAAGTTTTAAAACATGTTAGTTAATAATACATGTTAATAATACATGTCAGAATTAAATAAAAATTGCATAGTCTGGAGGCACAGTACTTCATTTCCCTCATTAGAATAAGTATGCTTGGCATACAAAGTGAATGCCTATGCAAGCATGAATCCTTTTGGAAGTGCACATGCTGAAGCAATTGTTTTATTGTAAGGCTTTCACAAATGCACGTGACCATATAAAACTTGTCTTTCAGCATGCCATGGGCTGTACTCTCTCAAAGCATTGCCAAAGCATCCTGACTCAGAATGCAGAGGTAATTCCTTGGAACATAGGGCTTAGTGAATATACTAAGGAGTGCCTTGCTGATCAGTATAGTATGTCAATTCCCTTATTATGTATAAATTTATACAAAACAAATTTCAAATTAGTCATTTTAAAAATAAGTTACAGAGACTTACAGAGACCAGTGCCACATCGTGACAATGATTTGTAGTATGGCCCTGCACTATACTCCTAACACAGAATCTTCCCCATCTAGTCCCTCTTCCAGCCCAGTCCCAGAGATTCTTGTCCTAACTAGCTGGCCACGTCTTTCCCTTCCTCCTGCCAATCCTTCACGAGTCCTTAGAAATTACTGAACACATACCCTTTTCCTTCTTGCATCATTTGTTCTAGAAAGTCCCTAGGACTTTTACTACCCCATTTTCTCCTTCCCAACAGCCTTCTCTTTTTCCTTCTGTCTAAACCTGGCTGTGATGAACCAACACCACCTACTATATTCCACTAGATCTTCCCCAGATTTTTATTGCTCACTCCCTGTCACTGTGGCTCACTACCTGAAGACAAAAGCTGTCAGTCCAAAATCAAGATTTGGTATCTGGTGGCTACTGATAGCACAAGATGAACATAGAACAACACTACCACCACCAAAATCCCTGGATTTCTCAAAGCTTCAGCCAATTCTTTGAAGAATCATATTGAGGCCTCAACACACTTAGTACTAGCATTATGTTTTTTCTATAATATGCACTCCAATGATCACACACCTAAGAATATTTGAACATCCTATCTATGATCACACATTTAAACTAACACCTTAGTGCAGTGGTTCTCAACCTGCAGCCTACTGGTCTCTTGTAGACCAATCAGCATGTAGCTGCAGCCTATCTGACATCCTCAGTGCCAAAAAGACCATGTACATACATGTGAATGTACTGTACCCAACACAAAGAGTTGCATATGCCATCCACATTGGTAGGTTAAGAACTGCCTTAATGTCATTATTAAAAGACCCACACAAGCCCAAATACTACATATATTTTTTTTAAAAAAAAAATCAAGGAACACCACAAAAGACTATGTAAACATAACAGCAGTGTTAAGAATATAAACAAATGTCCAGAAATCCAGTATTACTTAATGCTTAGAGAACTCAGGATGTGCACACTAGTTCTGAAAATTTAAAGGTGAGAGACAGATTGTCAACATGATACCCATCCTTTTCTCTCTCTCTCAAGATAAATACATTAGTTTCTTATCCATTAGTTTCTCCCTTCTCCCTCACTCTTTAGTCTCCCACCCCAACCATTCCCTCTCTGCCCCAACCTGAATCTGGACAACATTTTCATACTGCTAGTCCATCTTTCTAGTACTACTACCTCTACTATTAGGGTTCTTCAACATCCCCCAAGTTGCTTTCAGGAACTAAGATAAGACTGAAGTGTTCACGTGGAAAGGTGGATATGAAGTAGGGAATGAAGTGATGGCAGTCTTAGTGTTTCCGGTCTTTCAAGTAGTTGAAAAAAAATGAAACTTTTTTTCTTTTCAAAATAATATGACCTCCTCAAAACACTTGTGTTTATTTCACTGAGGATCTGCCAATTCCTGAACGATTATACAACATACTAAGGATTATGTTTCTGCATCCCATGCCAATGTTAACTTACTCATGTACTACTGTATTACTTGTTCTGTGAAGTTATATTGTAATACGTATCTGCAATATATCTAAGTAAATATTGACAGGAGAATCTCAACTTCTGAAGATTTTTAAAATTCTTAATCTTAATACTGAAGTATTACATATTTTCTTTTACTTGACTCTTCAGGTCTAAAACATGTTCTTCCTAAAACTAAAATATAAATTGAAGTCTGAGCAATAATTAATCAAAAATTTACAATAGTGTTAAATTGGTACATAAAAAGGCACTTTTAAATATGAGTTGACAATATTTGCCAACCCTTTTTCGTACACTTCAGCATTGGAGATATAGATTCTAAGGTGACATCCATGTATCAAAGTACAGCCAACCTCTAGTTCAGTTACTCTGAAGTTCTTCAAATAATAGTTAACTTCAGTGGCCATTTTATTTCTCAAACTTCCAAATTTGATTTTTATCTGCAGCATTACAAGTCCTCATTTGTACATCAGGCCGTCCCTCAGGAGTACGATAAGTACTAATGCACTTTCCTGACTGAGGATGATAAATAGTCCCATCCTGTTTAAAATGCCAGATGATACTTTCTGGAATAGGGGATCTATCTTTTGGGCAATTCCTCATGCCAATGAAATCCTTTTGTTCAGGGACTTCAGCACATAGTTCAGTCACAGAGTTAAACCTAATTTCTTTACTTGATGTGTATTCAAAGAACTGATTGCCTCCTTGACCATGACATCCAAAGAGAGACACATGAGTTCCAGTAGGATTATGTTCAGGTGAATTGTAGTCCAGGCATTCTGATGATATTCCCATACTGTGGATTGCTCCATGCCAGCCTGGACGATCCTCTGGTACATGTAAGTTGGAAAATATATTTTTCAAATACCAGTCAAAATTCTTACATTTCAAACGCTCTCTCAGCAGTTTTCTTTCAGAAATATCACCATAATTTTCTTTTCTTGCTGGAGGATTTCTGTTGTAAAAATGTTCTTTATACTCATCCATCCACACTTCAGCAGCACGTGCAGTGTTCTGAAGGAAATTTGGCCTCGCATATGGAGCCCGCTTTGGAAACACATGGCCTACATGGGAACAAGGATGGATCTCTAACGTGCCACCACACTGCCACACCCTAAAGGACAGTTCTAAGTTCTCCCCACCCCAGACATCCATCCCTGTGTCATATGTACCAAGATACTCAAAATACTTCTTACTAACTGCAAACAGACCTCCAGCCATAGTTGGGGATCTTATTGGGTCAGTTTTGGATTTCCATCTTTGACGTTCATGTTCAGGCACAGAATGCCACTGAAATGTCAATCGCCAATCAAATCCCCCAATCATGGGCTCCCCTGTCTGCATATAGAATTCAAATGTATTCCAATCAATGGTATCAATAACAGGACAAATTATCACAGTCTCATTCTCAGCGATCCTCTCTAAAAGTGGTTCCAGCCAACCAGAGTTACACTCACAATGACAGTCTAGAAATGTGAGAACATCACCAGTAGCAAAAGTAGCTCCAATTAAGCGTGCACGAACGAGTCCTTCTCGTTTGCTGGTTCTTATCAGACGAACTCTTTTCAGGTTACTAATGTACTTTTCAAGTTCAGCCTTCAGATATATTTTATCACTCAAGTCATCTACTAATATAATTTCTTTTAGAAGTACTGCAGGAGATGTTTCAAGAACGCTGTGGATTGTCCTCAATAAAGTTGACCAAGCTTCATTATAGAAAGCAATTATAACAGATGTAGTTGGAAGTTTTCTATGGTTATAAGATTTGGCTTTACATTCATACATACGATTGTCCTGTATATGCCGATGTAGAGATATTTTGTCACTCAAATAAATATTAATTGCATATTTTTCAATCAGTTCTTCTTCCAGTTTCTTTTCCTCAGGAGTCAACTGTAGTCGAGCCGCCTTACCCCATTCTCCTAGTGCATAAGAATCAGGAGGGGCTTTCTCATAAACTGGACGAGCCAGATCCTCTGCTCTTTCTGGTCTGTCAGAAAAGTGCCTCTCCCATCTCCCATTGGTGATGCCGTCTCCGCTGGAGGAGGCACTGAAGGTAGAAACAGACAGCTCCACTAGGAAGTAGGCAGCCATCAAGAGCCCAAGCAACAGGCAGCTTCTGCTAAGCCAAGTCCATCTTCTGGCCAGGCGGATCCTCATTGCAGGCGATGGAAACGGCCGGGGGCAGGCGGGAGAACTGTAAGTTGTTGCAGCGCGCTGCCCCTTCCTGGCGCGGCCGGGAGCTGCGGGCGGACAGCAGTTCCGGGCTCAGGCTGCTGGGGCGGGTTGCACTAGGTCCTCTTCTTCCCGGATATAGAGTCCGGAAGGGGGACGCGGAGTAGCAAAACACAATGCCACAACCGCCCCCTCACCACCACCTTCGTCCGCTCCCAGCCTCCAGCGTAGCGCGCCCCCGCCCTCCCGTGCCTTACTTCCTCCTCTCTGTCCCCGGGACAAACCCCTCCCCCGGGCACTCTCCCTCCGCCTTGTGGTTTGCTCAAAAAGTTGTCGCTTAAGACAGGGACCGAGAGCCCTTGGCCCGCCCGGCGCGGAGAAACACCTCCCCCTTCCCACTCTGGGCCCCAGCCCACTCGCCTCCAGCGTAGCGCGCCCCCGCCCTCCCGTGCCTTACTTCCTCCTCTCTGTCCCCGGGACAAACCCCTCCCCCGGGCACTCTCCCTCCGCCTTGTGGTTTGCTCAAAAAGTTGTCGCTTAAGACAGGGACCGAGAGCCCTTGGCCCGCCCGGCGCGGAGAAACACCTCCCCCTTCCCACTCTGGGCCCCAGCCCACTCCGGGACCAGCCCCGCCTCCGCCAGCTCCCTTCCCCCCCCGCCGCCGCCCCAGCTGGGGGCCAGAA